CATATGCAGGGAATGTAATGAATGATTCTGGACCCAAATTCCACATGTATGACATCTTTCCATGTCTTTGCAGAACGACTTATCCTGCAGTACAGATGGACTTTACTGATTCCGACCACAGGACAGACAGTAGAAACATCCACTGCATGAGCTCATGTAGCCACTGAGACAAAACACAAATGAAACTGGCCCTAAAATGTCACTCATAATTGTTTTACATGGGGCCATAATGTAATTTCAGCGTTTATCTGTGCTAGTCTGTGATTATATTGCCATCCAATAATGGAAATGTCAGTGTTTTTTTGTTTTGTTTTGTTTTTTACATCCAGCACCATTGTGTGGTAATGTAATTGAGCAATGACTTGAGTTTTAAAAAACTTGTTTGACTACTGCTGCAGGTACTGGTTTGGCACAAACGATGCATGTTTCAGAGAACCAAGAACCAAGAATTAAATGAACTATGACTATGTATGAACAGATAAAAAGTTTTGAGAGTGACAACCACATTTAAATATGAAACAAAATTACAAAATTATTGTTTAGTTAATCCTGAACCCACTCTGGCCGTTGGTGAAAACCATGGCAACATGGTTGAGTTTACATTGTGACTGTAAACTCAATCTATAACCACTTGGAAGCAAAATGTCATTGGAAATGTCTACATGTTTGGTTTTAGCTATATTTGATCAAAATAATATGAGTGAACAGAAACATATTTGTGGAGTGATTTTTTGGCAAATCCTATTTTAAAAGGTGGTTTTAAAATAAGCAAAATCTGATGTACAAAATGGGATTACATATTTAAGCAAGCAATAAGGTACAAGAGGCCATTCTGTATTGAATAAGTCACAACTGAAGGGCGTTGTTAGGCATGAAGCGAAGCGGAGTCACTGCAAATCCTTCAGCCGTGACTTATTCACAATACAGCACGCCTTGAGTACCTTATTACTTTTATAAAACGGTTACCACACAAATATTTTAATACAAATATTAAAACAAAAACTGATGTATTGATGTTACTTTTTGAACCTTGTTAAATGCTGTCCTTCCACTAAATTCCTGACAGTGATAGTAAATGGCAAGAGAATGCTCTGGTCTAACATGCTTCATCTGATGGAGCTCAAATAAAAACAGAGAATAGGAACTGTTCTCATATGCTGTGTCACTTATTGACTGATTTGATTGATTTTTTACGCCATATATGGTATTTTCTCACACACATACTGCACATCTGCTTATCTCTCAGCATGAGAAAACATCTGTTTTCTGTCTTCTGGTTTAAAACAGCCAGATTTGTGGCACAGTTTGCAAGCATCATTACAGTGTAAATTGATGGACTTTTTGATTTAAATGGATGGAAACTAATAAAGAAAGTAATATTCCCTCCACATTTCAGAAACTGTGGGCTTCCACACAGACACAGCACACAGATCAACGGATCTCCTATATGAGAAGAGTTTCTCTGATGGGGGAAGGCTAAATTACGTGACATAACGCCAGCAGGGATCACTCACTAAGGGTGTTGCGCAGTGATACACAGAACCATGGGGTAAAGCTGTCGTAGCTGTGCTTTATAGTGAATAAAACACAGCTGTTGAGCAATCAGAATCAAGGACTGGAACTAACCGTTTTATTATATACAGTAATACTATTGTCACGATCTCTAGCTGGAGAGCCTGTGAGCTTCGCTAGAGGGCACTTCATTACAGACTTTTGCCACTTTACCCCAGACTTCATTCCCCATAATCCTTTGCCTAGACTCATCATCATCAATGATTGCATTCACCTGTGTCTTGTTACCTCATCTGTCTCACCCTATTTAAAGCCTGGTTTCTCTCTTCCACATGGCTCAGTATTGTTTAGCCTGTGTTTAGCCCTAGTTCCTGTGTTTTCCGTGTTCCTTGTTGGCTTGCATTTTTTTGACCCTGGACTGTTCCTTTTTTTTCTGATCGTTTGCTGCCTGCCCTGACCTTTTGCTTGTTTATTTGATTACTCTTTTGTCTGCCCTGGATTATACCTGTTTGCTGCTGTTGTTTTGAATAAAGTCTGCATTTGGATCCTCAACTCCGTTGTCACGCCTCCATGTTACAACTATCCATTTACCTGCATTACTGACATTATCAGATAAGAACCAAATCTGAACTGAGCTGGACAATGACACTGTTATATCTAAATAAATCAAAATTTATTTATCTAAATAAATGTGACTTGACTTGTATAGGGTGATATATTTGGCTTTGTATATCTTTCCCAAAAAAGAAAGTGTGCCGAGAGTCGTGGGAACAGAGCGAGGCCGGTGGAGTAAATGCTAATGCACGACACCTGCGCCACTCACCGGTCTCGAGTCTCATGGAGGAGCTCCGGAAGGATAAAAGGAGGAGTGACGACAGTGTTGGATGAGAGACGACCAGGCCTGGTCTTTATTTTGTGTTTTGTGTGCGGCAGTCGTCCGCGAGGAGCTGCCGCTTTACTTTCATTTTGTGTTTGTTTATTTTATTAAAGTTTTGTTTAAATGTTCGCCGGTTCCCGCCTCCTTCTTCCCGATCTACAAACGTTGTTACAGAAAGAAATAATCACAAAAATTCAGTGTCCTCAATGTTAATTATGATTAAAAAAAAGGTGGTACTAAAAAAAAAAACATACTGAAAGATACGTGATCTACGGGAATACAATACCAGTTGTGGAATCAATGGAATGAAGAGAGTCTGTTTCCTTGAAATGGGTCAAATGAGAAGCTTTGATGAATTTGGTGGATGAGGAAGTGTCTAATGGTGGCCGGTGGTCTCACGTTACAAGAAAGGACCGCTTACATGGGGAACCTGAGGGGAAACGGCTCAGACAAAATCCCACAAATCAATAAAGTGTAAATGCGGATCCATACATTCAGAGATTCTGCCTTTGAAAAGGAGATGGATCTAGGGTTTTGGCGCATGCAGAGTTTGTCTGGCTCCGGATACGTCTGTAAGCTCTGAAAGTGCTTCTGTTCTGTGGACAAAGCTCAGCACGTCTCTAACTCATTAAAGCTACCCACAGACAATTACTGACCACCATCATCGCAGGGAAACTGTCATACAGCTCAGCGTAATCATCACATCCTCTCTACAAAGTCTGATTTTTAGAAGTGGGGGTCCCTAAAAGGATGGTCCTCCTCTGTTGAAATCTCTTTCTGGGAGGTTGTATGTGGGAGTACACTTGTATCAGAAACGAGGCTGCATGTGTTTGCATTTTATTTAGCATTTAGAGCACACACTCCACCTCCAGCTCCTGGTCAGATGTATGACGTCTTAATGACCTCGGCATGTTATGTTACTACATAAAATCAGTTTAACATCCTAAAATCCAGCACTATGGTGAGTAGTCTGTGTACTGACAGATCATTTTATTCTTTAGCTGGTTTGTAAGGCATCAATATCAGGCCGTTTAACACTAACAGCCTAGCTTGCTGTTCTAATGCCTCAGGGAAGACATGGAAAAGCTTGTACGTTTCTCTCTTGGCAATCATTCAAATGCACTGCTTACTAATTTAAAAAGGCATTAAGAAGCCGGATTACAGAGAGCAGAAAACTGATCATTTTTGCAATGTTGCAACTGGGCTGGAGGAACCCCATTTAGCTTTCAGGAGATATTTATGAGCCACTGTTTTTTAGACTCACACCCCGAAGTTAATCAATATCGGTGTTTAGTGTGTTGCTATATGGTTACAACATATTTCCACAATGTAAGAACAGCTGTAACTGTTGAGCACATGATGTGTCCAACGTACTGTTTAAATAAGTGCATTATCTGATTATTTGAAGTGCACTTCTTCATGTTGGAATTTTCAGTGTTAACACACGACTCACAATATTTATACTACAAAGTGGCGCAATTATGTGAACTGGGACACACATATTCAGGTCTTTAGATATGTGCGACAGTGTGATTTTTTTCACCCCTTCTATCGTCTGAAAGTCATACGTCTGATCATTGAGCACCGTAAGAGTACACCTCTCCTCAAAAATAAATCATTAATTTCTGTAGCACAAAGGCTGCAGGACGAGTGGTAGGGCTTTGACTAATAAGCCAATGAATATAAGACAGAAATTCTAAAAGCAAATACAGTTGCGTCGAATCAATGTATCTGAATTTTAAACAAGCATGGACCTACAAAAACTGGTCATCTTGTGTTGCACAGATGTGATGAGTGTGATCTTTGCCATCACTTTACAAGAAAACCACCTAACTTTAAGCTCTTGCCCATGAAACACTAGTCTGGACACCAGCTCATTAATAACTGCTTATCTAGCTCTTTCAAACCCTCTCTGTTGGAACTATTATGTGAAATTCTGAAGCTTTATAAATCTTTAAGGTTGATTCACCGTTCAATAGAATTCACTCATCACATCACAATTTATGCAAAAGAGCTCCAGGCAGTCCTGTTAATATTTATCTTATTTGCACCAGTGGTGAGGTCAGAAATCTCCTTTTCTGTGCCTCTATCCCATGCCATTATTTATTGTTTGTAATTATTTCAATATGGGCTTCTGAATGAATGAAAAACCACAATCAGGGTGACTACACCTAACATCAAAAAGAAGAGAAACTATGCATTTATAATTAAAATAAATACAAAACCCAATTTATATAACTGTCAGTTATATAATCCAATTTACCAGAATGAATCAGGCTTTCAAGGCTACGTGAGGTCTGTCTAGGACAAACTGAATCACCAGAATGAATCAGACTTTTCAAAGCTACATACCGTATTAGAGAAAGAGAGCACCATTCAGGATGAACTGATTCATTGACATGATTCAGATTTCCTAAGCTACATAAGAGACAGAGGTTCGCTTAGGACAATTTTGCAGTTTTGATCTGATTTTTTCCAGTATATTCTGGCAGCTTGGATTGGATGGTACCACCATCATTAAGGATGGACCAGTGTCACTCTTGTCCCTATAGCCTCACCACTGATTTGCACATTATTGATTTTAATACTTGTAAAAAGGATGCATTCTTACATTTCCTGATGGTTAGGCTTGCTGTAGTATTTGTTTTTCCAAGGTTGTTGACTGCCTCACAGGTGTATAAACCAGCATCTGCTTCTGTGGACTTCCTGATCAACAGTTCAGATATTTTCCCCCTGTAGAAAGTTGCATAATGTTGCTTATTTATATTGCTTGTTTACTGTCCCAACTAAACAGCCTTGTGTCGTTAAGAAGTGAATTTAAAATGAGAATTTCAGTATAATATAAAGCTGATGCACTGTGCTTGTATCTCAGCACAGGCCAGTTTGGATTATACTGGGTTAATTTTTTTTTAAATCACTTGCCCACATACTATACACATGGCTGATATCTGTTCCTGCAAATGCAACAATAACATTTCTGACTCAATATTCTATGAAGCCAAATCTTCATTCAGCCTGAACAACATATAGTCATGCTTTTTCTTAAGCATAATTCTGTTATAGGAACTTACTGTTTCTTTTTTTTAATCTTTATGCCTTTGGGTTTGTTTTTGCCTGTGAGTTCTTTTCCGTTCTTGTACCACTTAATGCTGGGAGCTGGATTTCCCGCCACAATCTCACACTTCAGTACGGTCTTTTTTCCATCCTCCACTGTCACGCTCCGCAGGTCCTTTAACTTGGGTTCCGCTGAAACAAAGACACAAAACAGAAAATAGAAATTACTCACAGAATGCCATCAGCCATCACAAGGGTCAAACTTGCAATATTTCACTGTATTTCACCCCATTCTGTAATTATATTTTTATTGTATGGTCATTTGAACAGCTTCTCCTCAAATGCCCCTTTAATAATTTTTTATTATTATTTATAATTATTAATTGTCAATCATGAATATAAGAAAAAAAAATGTCATGAAATAATGAAAAAATACAAAAAGAAAATACGAAATAGGCTTCATTTTTTTGTACAAAATTATTAAAATGTTCTCTGGGTATCTGGAACCCACACTGCTGTCCTCTCAGTAAAGAAATTCATCATTCCAGACATTAGTTTCAATAGATCCCTACAGCTGTTCAACCACAAACCATACCCATTACACTAACACAGACAAAAAAGAAAGCATAATTGTCCCCTCATCAGAGATGTTTTAAGATGCCATGAAACAGTCTAGTTAAATATGATGCTGTTTGATTTGATCTTTGCGAGACAAACCAAACAGCAGAATAAACAGCGAGTTCAACCCTCAACAGCAGGAGCACCACTGAACAACAGCTCATTCTCATAGTCACTTCACAGCTTGGAAATAAACAGTGGCCTTTGAAATATAATTTATGCTGTATACAACAGACACCAATAAACTGAAATCCACACAGTTTTGAATTTGTAAAAATGTGTGGGCACACACTTGAGCTGTAACTGTAAGCTTTTAATCAATCAAGCCCAATTACACAAATTCATGTTTTCTCTAGCAGTGGTTTGCATGTAGATTACAAATACAAAAAGCTCTTAAATTAGGATAATTTTCGATATATATTGTGACTTTTAGTATCTGATATGCTGACACAAAAGAGTCACAATATACTGTAATGAATGCATATTTAAACTGAATGGTTGAATTGTGCTCTCAAAAGCATTTTTCATAAATATCAGGTGGGACCATGTTGTCACACATGTTGTAAATTTATTTATAATTTTTATTTATATATTTATAATGAATAAAACAATGGTTTTGGTATTTTCACGTTATCCTTTCATTAATTATTTTGTTTAAATTATACATACTGTACATCATGGCATCTTTTTCAAAAGAAAGAAAGGGAAAACAACATGCCTTAAAGTAGAAACATCATAACATGACTTAAACAAAGGTAAAAAGATATACAACTACACAAAATCATATTTGGGTGTGTTTCTTTAAAGGATCAGGTTAGATATCTTCCCATTACAGCACAAGATTTCTGACTGATGTACAACATACTGATGCTCAAGAAGAGTGAAGTTATAAGTACAAACAAGCAGGGGGTGATAGCAACACTGCAGTAACTACGCAAGTCTGAAGAGAACATACAGAAAACTAAAGATGAACAACCCAATTTCATAAACCTGTTAATTTTTTTATTTATTCAGAGAGGGTGATGATCTGGAGAGTTTTTCAGTGATTATTCATCCTTTAATGTTGCTGTGCCCATTATAGTGAGAATTGTTTGGGCCCCACTGACAGCACAAATGCATATGGCACAGGTTCACGTCTGTCTCCTGTCGTTATTCTGGCTATTTATTCTTTATTGCTGGGCTGGTAAATCCAACAGAAGCACTCTGATTTCTACTGAACCTGAAGGTGTTTGTTTGCCAGCTTAAACCAGTCACAGCCGCTCAATTTATTGTGAATCATCAGAAACACTAAACTCCAAATAAGCCCTAACCCCCAATTCCCAGTTCACAATGATAAACTATGCAGCTAGATAAAATCTTGCTCATCTTCAGGAGGCTATTGCCTTATCTTACAACATTTCCTGTTGCCAAGGTGCTTTTAATAACAAGAATCGCTTGCATAGCACAGTGATGACAGCAATACAGACAGACTGTAGAAATCTCTACTGGTACACCTATAGGGTTTCCTCACATACAGATGTCAGCAGAGACATCCCCAGACACACTCCACTGAGCACGTAATAATCGCAAATGCAACACATATTTTACCATGGTAAACTCATGCATAAATAACAGCGAACAGCTTTATTTGTGTCTGATCTCCGTTTCCTCCGAGTCGCGCAGTCTCTGTGTCCAGACTGCTGCCCATCCAGCTGTTTCTTTATGTCACGGACCAGTTCCCTTTGGGGAAACTCCTACACTGTTTCTTAGGCCACAAAGTCAAGTCGGATCAGGGTCCACATTCCAGTACAGCGAGAGAAGAATTCCATGATCTAATATGAGGTTCAGACAGACAGATCAGCCAGTCATCTTAGTTTCCCTACTTTTTCCCTAACAATACTAAAGCTTGTAACTAAAGGGGGGATACTATCATATCCAGTATTAAATTTGGACACTTCAGTCACACTTATGCCCGGTTCAGACTACACGATTTTAGCCCGATTTTGCCACGATTTGCTTGACGTAGGGTGTCGTGGGGATTCGTAAACGACAATGGGTGTCGGGACACAAGATTCCATTGTTTCAGCTCGTGTAGTGTGTCATAGTGGGCGACAACCGATTTGCGTCTGCGATGCTTTACGACATCACGACAGAAAAACTAGCATGTTTAATTGGAGGTGGAGGAAAGGTTCGTGGAGCTGTGGCAACAGTACTCCTGCCTGTATGATGTGTCATCGAGGGACTACCACGACAGAACAAAGAAAGAAAAATGCTGGTGAACGATAGCGGAAGCGCTTCAGCAATGTTTACACTCTTGTTTTTCGGAAGTCAGTCACTAGTTCCGCCTTCTCGATGACATCACGCGCGTTGTTAAAGACGGCATGCGATGAATGTTCGGGAAGCACCGTGTAGTCTGACGTGTTTCTTGTCCATGACTGGACAAGATTTTAGGAGTGAAAATCGTGTAATCTGACACAGTGACTATCGTGACCGACAAAAATATAGTGTAGTCTGAACCTGGCATTAGGCATGTCTAAATGATCTTTTCTCTTCATTAACGTCACTTTTCCTCTTAAGTCTCAGTGTGTTTGAATCAGCTGGTGTTTTGGTGATTTTTAGTTGATGTGTGAAGTCAGTTCTCCTCACACAGGTGTCCTAGCAGAAGAACCACAGGTGCAGAGAATCACATTTACCATAGACTACTACATACAAAAAAGTGTTTTTATTTTAAACACAAAATCTATTTTTTTATAATTTCAAATATCTTTATGTTTGATAATCAGATGTTTTGTTCACTCATGCTATTTTTCTTACAAGAAAAAAAAAGTTGCTTTGATATTTTATGTTTAATGGAGAGGCATTCAGACATTTTTAAGTTGGTCTCAAAAGTCCAAATACTTCACAGTAATTCCTGGCATGCGTTTATACACACACACACACACACGCTGCCACCGTGCTGAAACGCAATGAACAGGACTCATTATACACAACTGAGCTTCATCTAAAGCTGGCACAAGCATGTTTCAACATGAGTGTGTAACTGAATTAATGCTGGGAAATCTAAATGTGTTCTTCTGCATAATATTTCACCAAGAGATAATTCACAGAATTTATTCGCTCAGACCTTCTGCCATGCGTCACACCTGTCATAAAATAAATGAAAAATTAATATAAAAAATGAGGCTACGAGTGGAAAACTCACGTATCTTTCTCATCACACATTAACTTAATACTTAGTGTTACTGATCAATAACCAAGAGTGTGTTTTCAATTACATACAATGGGGTCCAAAATGAGCTCATCTGATTCAAATCTAATTTAAATTTAAATTAAACAGTGAATTTAGGACAAAAAAAATATGAAATAGCAGGTGAAATTCTGAAATGTAATATTCTAGGTCTCTTTGGAACATCTCAGATCATGCTGGTAAACATGATCATCAGGTGTAGTTCATGCTGTCATTCATGCTCATCATCAAGTACATTTTTCCAATTCCACCTTTCACTCATTGTTATGCTAACAAATATAATTTGTAAAGGTACAATTTGCGTTCGATGTGAGAAATACTGAACCCCACAGAACTCCAGACTATTATAAACCCATCTGTAAGTCAAGCAGCCTGTATAATAAACGGGAAACCCTCTCCATTAAGTCACCGGACCGGTGGGTCATGTTAATGCTTACAAACACTTCTGCCCTTTCTCCCTTGACATGCTAACAAACGTTACAGTGGATTGCAACACCTGTAACCTGAAAGCGCAGTAAAAAGAGCTGAGGTCAGAAACAATTGAAGCCTACTCAATTGTCCAGCTTGTCAATCCATTCACAAAACCCAAAAATTTGACACGTTTCCCAACACCTCAACAGAGCAGTGCTTTACCTTGCGGGGAGTTGTCAGACTTGCTTGATCTCTCAGGGTCCTTATCCTTTTTCTTTACGCCACTTTTCCCGTCTTTACTTGTGTTCTTCTCAGACATGATGGCCTTTAGATCTGTGATTTCTGCGCTCTGTTAAGCTGTCAGTCAGTAAAGTTCTCCGCGCTGTGTGAACATGAACTCCCTCCAGTCAACTGTAGAACAGAAACTCTCCCCCGTGAGCAAGTGTGTTTTACATGCTCAAAGAGGCGGGATCACAACTCTAAATGTGTCAGATTTCCACGTGGCCCACGTTACAAGCAGTGCGTGCTTTACTAATCTAGTTCTAGTGTGCTTTTCTGTATTTATGAATTAGTAACGACAGCTGTGTCAGGGTATATAAGGGTGTGACTGCTGCTGCTTTAAAGCCTTAATATTTTAAGACATTATTCTTTAAACAGCTCCTAATTGTCTCCTGACTGATGTGTACACAGCATAAACAGCAAAGCTGTCACATGGGTGCTGTCATATACTGTACTCACAAACTGTGATTGCACTAAGTACTGTGAAATGTGTCATAACAAAATACTCAACAGTAATTTATCAATAGAAAAATATTATACACACATAATTCTTGTGTCATGCTCTGCCGTCCTTTCTTTGAATGTGACGACACATCGCTGACATAAGCGTGGAGAGCCTGACAAGACCAGACACGCTTGATTTCAGTTCTTGCTGTTA